ACCGAAGCAGCAGCATGGGCTGTCGAGTCTGTCGCGCGAGAAAGGTAAGTGACGTATTTTTTTCAGTGTCTGATAAGAGAGTCATTCAACTCACATGCGATAAACCGCAGGTCAAATGCGACGGTCGGCCCAACGGCTGTCGCAATTGTGAACGTCTCCAACTCGAGTGTGTTGACGATGACGGTTCAAAGTCTGGCAGTCGGCGTGGATCAGTTCCTGTGTCCCTGAGGAAGATCAGGACTTATCGATCATGTACCAGTTGTCGTGTATCAAAGACTAAATGCGACGGCGACCGCCCGAGATGTTCACGATGTAGCGCCCGTAATCTCGAATGTCAATATGACGGAGGCTCGGCTCCTCGCTGGGCGCGCAACCTCAGCAAGGCACCAACTTCGGGCTCGACTGAAGAAGATTTAGAGTCCTCCTTGGATGCTTCCTCCATCGCTGGGGAGAGCCTGAGGTCACACAGTCTCATCCAGTCGCGGGAGAACGATGTCGCAACGTCTCATCGGTCAAGCACCAGAGATACCAGCAGCATTAATCCGCCCATAGACTTTTCCGATGATACCGAGTTGTCTATTCATTCATGGTGAGTCGATGCTTCATTCCCGAAGATCCGGGTCAATCCAGCTTACTTATCCCTCCTAGGCTTATATCACCAGATCTCCCATCTGGGAACAACATCCGTACCGTAGTCGACCATTATTTTGCCAACATTCATCCTCTTCGATGCTTTGCTTTTGTACATAGACCATCATTTGCTCGTCTGTTAGATAAGGGCTTCGAGTCTGATGACGAAAAGGCACTACTACACATTATTTGCGCGCAAGGAGCCAAGTATGTCCCTCAATCTGAACTATGTGAACATGGCACTAATTATCCAGATTCTATGCTCTATCCATCAATTTGGAGGACCAAGATGCGAAAGCGAGCCTAATCCGAGCTGCGGGTAACAGCTGGGCACAAAAGGCTGAAATGCTGGTTCTCACCAACTTTGGCAAGATTTCAGTCCAAAGGCTCATGGTAATTCTCAACCTAATGCTCGGGCTTACAAATGGCTAACATGTTTATTCAGACATGCATATTACTTTATGACTTTCATTTTAGACTAGGCGAATACACCCAAGCCCTGATGCTGAGTGGTCTCGCAGTCCGAATGGCTCACGCACTACAGCTCAACGTCGAGTTCTCACCCGACATCCTCTGCGCAGAGGCCAACGAGTCCTCTCCACCAGCCGTTGAGAAGGAGAGTCGTCGTAGACTCATGTGGGCCTGCTACATCCTAGATGCCTGGACGGGTAGTGGTGTTGATCAATTAACACTACTGCGTGAAGCCGATATTAAAATCCAGTTGCCATGTAACGAACGTAACTTCAGACTTCGGATCCCTTGTGTAACAGAGACGCTCGGTGTAGGACACGTTCTGCAATTCCTCCCTCCTGCGATTGTTCCACGAAGGCCGGCTTCCAACATGGGTATCATGGCTTACTACATCCGAATTGTCACCCTATGGAAACGGGTAGTCAGGTTCGTTTGAAACCCGGAATGCTTTTTGGACGGACACCGACATCTAACTGAGTACAGATACGTAAAGCATTTGAATACGAGCCCACCTCCATGGCTTCCTGAGTCCGACTTTGCAGCTCTTGATGCGGATTTGCGATCGTGGGGACGACATCTTCCCGAGTTCATCTCATACTCCACTGACACCATTTACGCACGCCTCGAATCCGATCAGCTCGGATCACTTGTCTTACTCCATTGCACATATCACCATAATCTTCTAGATCTTTACAGGATATCTATGCCTGACCTCTTCAAGCTGATCAAGCCTTTCTACTTCCCACCAAATCAGCAAGAGTTCCTGCAATCTTTGCAAGCCGATTGCTTTTATCATGCGAAGCAGATCTCAACTATCTTGGCCGAGGCGGTGCAACATGGTGCACGATATCTTGCTGATAGTCTCCTCCCCTGCTTTGCCTATGATAGTAGCCGTGTGATGTTGTACTACATTGCAAGGCTGCTTGACTTGAGTAGACCTGATGCAGAGACGATTGTTGTGGATGCCATCAATGCTGTGGAAAGCAACAGCAAGATCCTACGGACAATGGCGGCTCTGTTTCCACTCGCCGATTCTCTGGTATGTGGAATTTGAAGTGTAATATTTGTCGTGGGTTTTGCTAACTATGGTACTAGGCAACGACGACTGAAAGATGGCTAGCTAAGATTCGCAAGACTTTTGCCCAGGATGAGCATATGAGCGACCGTCCTTTACATGGTGACGAGGAAAGGTACGCAACAAAAACCCTCAAATCAGTTCAATACTAACAAGTACTTTCTAGGTCACCGATTTTGACTGGAAGCCCCGTCACCAGCAGTCCTGACGAGGCCATGGGAGCTCTTGGCCTCGCACGTCTTGCGCAAGGCCAAAGCAGTGATATGAAACCGATAGACCGCGATGCTTGGAATAAGATGGAAAGCGGTAGTCCAACTGCGAGCAAAAGAGGAGCTGGATCAGTCTCTGGGGCGAGCAGTCAGCCCGAAATAACGCCCGCACGATCCAAACTACAGCACGAGCAGCCAGTATCTCAACGGACACCCCCAGGAGCTACGACTTCACACATGGACCACCAGGCAGTAGATCTCAGCGATTTGCAGAACTACCTATCGTGGGATATGTATGGAATTATGGAGATGAATGACAATGGCTTGAAGGCTGGCATAGAAGACAACGGCATGCCATCCTGGAGTGCGATGTGATCACAGAGCATCTAAGCCAAGGACGCTGTGATAGCACCAAGAGAACCAGATTCCGACGGTCATTTTAATGATCCGGATGTCGTTTTTATCGATTTACGATGGAAGAAAGATCGCGACACGAGGGCCTCCGGGCCATCGATTTCGGAACATCGCCCAATGATTACAATGACACAAAGTGAAATGAGTATCACGCAATGCAGCGACAACGAAATGAGCTCGACGATATGGCAATGGAACGTCACGTATTGTCTCTGGTCTCAACATCCACTCCAGGAATTTCAAATGCGCAGGGCGTCTTGAAAAAGGCCGATGACTCTTAAGAGCACTTTTCGGGCCACCAATGGCCACCACGGTATGCTATTTGCTGCATTGATGACTATTGGATCTCCAGCAACTGATTGGAGCTTCTTGGACATGTCTGTTTAACTTTTCTACAACGTATATGGGGGTTTTCTTGTTTGTGTTTGTGCTGCCTGTTCATTGTCATATGGGAAACTTGACATCGGAGCATTGGAGCATTGGGCACAGGATGGGTGCTTTAATAGATTTTCGATACCCGGTAGATATCAAGGTTGTTCTCAGGTCTTGCTAAATATCGACAAACAAATGTGGACAGGATCCAGTGAAGGCATCGCGTCTTTCCCTGGGCGAGCTGAACTTCCCGTTTACGGTACAAATTCGGAGCGAGCGACAGTGAAATGCAAGGATTAAATCGATCGACCACGATCTGGACACACTCCGCTCAAGATGTGGACTCGTGAGAATGACGCAGAAGCACTTTAGCAACTGATAGACTAGCCTGTTTCACCAGATGGTGCGAAAAGCTAACTTAGCGAACAGCTACCGTGGGTAATGGTAAGAGTTTTTATGAAGGGAGGGATAGGCGGCTCAATGATACGGACGGTTTGATTACAAGAGACGGCCTCGAGCGTTGGCTTAGAGCACGCACCAGCTAATACGTCAAGAGCTGGGAGTGGGAAGACAATGGCAGATGTCATGAGGAGCTTGGGCCTCACGATAAATGATAAACAACCTAATCAATTAAACCTCGGAGATCGATTACGGTAGGGTTCATGGGGCCTCGGCGATGTGTGTGATGTGCTGCAGAGGATGGGACTTGAGGGGTAGCTATGGCAATGCCAGGGAACCCGCTGTTATGCTTCTTTGTTTACATGCGGAGTGAGTGGTGGTGGTGAGAAGTAACGTTAGAAAGGATCCGAGGTACATAAGCCTGTTACAAACATCGACTGTGGCTGCAGCTGCAGGTGCTCTTCGCCAATCGTAGGCTGAGTTTTGAAACGATGTTTACGAAAACCATGATTTCTTAGAAGACCAATCCATGGCGAAATGGATGGTAACAGGTAACCCGGGTAGCTGCTTTATGTGAATATTGACTTTTTTTTTTGTTTTTCTTACCCCGTTACGACCATGGCAAGAAAACTCTGCTTGCGGCTCAGCTTTCTTACTTTTCTTGTGATACGAACATCCATGGCCGTCTCGTCTTGTTTTTTCTGCTGCTTGCGGAGTCTTGATTCGCTTGTCCTGTGAACTAGATATCGCTTCTGCACATGCATGTCAACTCAACTGAACTACTGTATGCAAGGAGTTGGAGTAAGACGCCGAACACACTTGCGTAAGGATGATATACGGACCATTGCGGGTTCGTGCTTGTCTTGCTAAGGCCTCATGTTTGTGTGATATTGGACCCATGGGGTAAAAACAAGGAACTTACCTGGATACAAGGAAGGGAGCTTTATTACTCCTCAAGGCTTAGTAGGTGATAAAGTGCCGCTAGACCGCTGGTTGAGATGTTTAAGCGAGAATATGTTTGCACGTAAGACTTTGATCATTCGATCTCAAGGCGGAGCAGTGGAAACCGTCCTCAATTAAATCCCATCTTTTTCCTGGTTCTCGCATCGTGGACGGGCCAAAAGCTGCCCGTCCCTGGAAATCAGAGGGGCCAAGGGTGCTAGATGGGATTCCCACTTCAGGCCAATCACGGGCACTGACAACTGGAGCTCAGTAGCAACAGGTGATCAGCCCGCGCTTCTACCAAGCTTTCAGTGGCCTCGGAGCCCTGGAACATCCCTGCCAAAAGCGAGCTTCAGCGGGGTAAGCTTGCTTGAAACACTGGGGCGCCCCGAAATAGCCCGCCAATTACACATTCCCTGTACCGGAAGGGAGGTTGCTGTAGCAACTCGCCGCTTCCCATCGTTTACCATATTGCGCCAGATGCCGCCGTGAATACTTTCATGTTATGTCGCTAGATCCTCTGTCTATCTGACTTGACCTTGGAATCTCTCTTGTCTCAGCCGCTTTCAAGTCTCTCTTTTTTTTTCTCCAACTCGTAAATCCTTCATCACGAATCCGCTTTTGCGGTGCATGGCATTTGCACTCAATTTTCGCAAACCTCCAACTTCGCTTTGCGCATAGGATGCTATTCCCGCCTCGACGACTTCACTGCTCGATGACCACACGTGAGAGAAAGTAAACACCAACTGGACACACACGATTGCACACAACCCAATAAAACCGAGACTACGAATCACGCTGCACGCATTTTAAATACCCGTTACATACGTTTATTCGCAAGCACCTTTGTTCACCCCTTTGCTTGTATATAGCATCGATACCGATCACGTTATCCCCTTGACGGCGAAAGTCGCGATACCAAGCAAAATGGTGGACACAAGTTACCTCGCACAGCAGGTTAATAATAGTATTGCCCAGCTGCACGGTCTCTTTGATGAGATCGGTGTCCCTGATCATGAGCGCGAAGCTCGAGAATCTGAGGTATGTTTACTTGGTCGCAAAGCATATCGCAGCTCACTAACTTGAGCAGTTGTTCTCAGCATTGTCTGAAGCACTCAATAGCCAAGTGCGACTAGTCAATTCAGAAAAGAAGGAGATGGTCGACGAGGCAAAGAAGATCATTACCATGATTCACCAAATGGAGGCATCGTTGGACGATTCAAAACGTCGCCGCGACTACGAAGACGACGACGACTTGACCATCACATATCCTCTAACACAATGCCTCCAACAACTGAAGGAGAAGCATATACAAATCAGTCGCCTCCATAAGGAGCGCTTTGAGCAAGTCAAGAGTGCGTTCGCAGCTACAACCTTTGTCTTTCACTCACTAACATCACCTAGAACTCGTCGTGGCCCTTGAATCCTATTCCTCTCACCTGGAGCCCACATTTGTCCAAATTCCCTTACCGCCCACAGGGCCTAATCAGTCCATCCCTCCCAACTTTGACCTTTCTTCCACCTACGTTGACAAGCTTGACAATGAGTTCACACGAGTTTATGAGGAGTATTCTCGTCGCATCGCTACTGTTCAAGCCCTTGCCGACCAGACCATTGGCCTGTGGGCTGAGCTTGGCATTCCCCAAGCGCAACAAGATGGCGCCATCGTCAAGTACTATCGCGATGCTCCTGAGCAACTTGGTCTGCATGAGGAAGACATCAACCGACTCCGCTCTAAGCGCGACAGACTCTCAGATGAGAAGAAGAACCGCGAGAAGAAGCTCAAGGAGCTCAGATCTTCCGTCGAAGCTTTATGGATCAAGCTTGGTGTTGATGAGAGCGAGACCAAGCCATTCCTTAACGCGAACCGCGGCTGCGGTGTGCGACAGATCAATGAGTTTGAGGACGAGCTCGCGCGATTGAATGAGCTCAAGCGTCAAAACCTCCACCTTTTCGTCGAAGATTCCCGCATCAAGCTTCAAGAACTCTGGGATGCGCTATACTTTTGCGAGGATGAGATGCTTGAATTCACCCCTGCCTTTTCCGATGTCTACAGTGACGCTCTTCTGGAGGCCCATGAGCGTGAAATTGCCCGCCTGGAAGCTCTCAAGGAACAGCGGGCACCCACATTGGCACTCATCGATAGACACAAGAGTTTGATCCAGGAGCGCGATGATCTCGCTGCCTCCAGTCAGGACGCATCGCGGCTCATGGCACGTGGTCAGAAGGGTGAGAAGCGAGATCCTGGCAAACTGCTCCGCGAGGAAAAGATGCGAAAGCGTATCGCCAAAGAACTCCCTAAGATCACTGCCGATCTACGCAAGATACTTTCCAAATGGGAAGACGAATATGGGCGACCTTTCCTCGTGTATGGTGAGAGTTACTTGGATGAGATTGAGGCTTCTGATGGACCAAAGAAGGGCGCACTGCCGCCCCGTTCTAAGACACCAGCTGGTCCACCTCCCTCAACCATCAAACCACCCAAGTCTGTACCAAACCGAGCTGCCACCAAGTCTGCTCCTCCTCGATCCATGACCAAAACCCCTACAGCTGGCATGCCTCCCAAGCGACCTGGACACCAAGCTACGGGCTCCATTTCTAGTATACCTGGAAGCCCTGCAAGGAGTCCATCGCGAATTCCTGCCCGAGTTCCGCTATCAAACATGAAGCACGGGAACAACTCTCCCGAACGGCCTCGTGCTGAGTCGCGAGCTGATACCTTCCGACCTGGTCCCCCTTTGATGCGGGCACCTCCTCCGAAGATGCGTGACTTGATGGCTCGGGGCGATCTTGAAGCTCCTATGAATCCCTATAAGTCCATGGGCCTCAATTCCAGCATTGTTCGCCATGTTGAGCCTGAGGATGTATATGATGATCGCCCTCGAACAGCACGATCCAACTCCAACAATTCTCAGTATAGCAGCCATCCCAGCAACAATTCCCAGTTCAGCAGTCACCCAAGCAACAACTCTCAATACTATAGCGAAGAGAGCTTCCATGACCCATATTCCACCATCCGCTCACAAGGCTATCGTCCGATGGCCCCGCCAAGACAGATCTCTGGCAACTCAATGGCATCAACCAACATCTCTGGATCTGAAAACTGGGAGACATACGACGATAACAGCGAACCTGAGCTTGATGTTTCAGATGCCTACTACGCCAAGTTAAGGGCGACTCGCAATAAGCGGTTCTCACCTGAGCCAGGCCGACCCACGAGTAGCCAGTCCAAGCGCATACGCGGCATACCCCCTACAGCATCATATAATGGGCCAGTGATGATTGACCAAGATGGTAACCGCATCATTTCAGGCAGTGAATGGACAGACGAGGATGCCTACTGAGCACTCCCCTGATTAATCTTCACTCAACGTTTACCCATGAATGATGTCAAACGACCGAACCATTCTGAACGATGATGGATTCACGCAAGCTTTTCATGATGATGCAGGCATCTCGCGACGATCTTGAGTGAGCAAGCGAACAACAGAACGCCGCAGAACCACGGCCTGTCTAGTTGCAACGTTGATGCACGACTGAATGCCTCTACGATAACGCCAGACAGGCGTCTTGTCACAGTTCCACCTCCTTTGGACATCTTTTGCCAACGAGCTCTTCTTTTTTTTTTTTTCCATTTTCACTTTTCTCCATAGTCACTTCTGACTGGCTAAGTTACATCTCGCCGGGCCCGACGCCAGGATTTTTTGTATTCTTCTTTTTTTCTCTTTCTTCTAGCTTGAGCGGGATATTGTACACAGGCTCCCCGCCTACAGAGTGAGGGCCTTCCAAGTGAGTACTTGCTGGCCCTAGGATAATGTGAGATGTGCATAAGGGGGTCGAGGGCGCTGGAAAACTGGATTAGGTAGGGATGGCAGGCGTCCAGGATCATTGGCGTTTAATGTATATCCTGAGTAGGTCGAGCTGCTCGACTATAGTCTCAACAATGCTATTTGTCTTGATTTTGAACGATTGTCCTTGCAAATGTGAAGTCATAATATCTGTAATTTCTGTTAAACTATAGGCCTCCGGCAAAAACGTTGTGAGGAAGCTCTCCCGTAACACTGAAGACTAGCGTGACTCCAGACTGCCCGATATTTGTGTTAGATTGAAGCGATTGGCCTACAGAAGCCTGATCGCTACTGTGTAAACGTTTCCATTGCCGCTTCCAAACGCAAGTGTCAATAGTTCTCCAAGCCCGTTCCCCTAGGGGCTCGCTGAAGTCGTTTGCTACAGGGTAAGGAGTTACGACTGCCTACCCTGCGTCTGGCATGCACACTCAAATTCCTAAACCGAGGCTTCAGAATATACCTGCTGATAGAATCTTTTAAACGAGACTGACGTCTAAGAAGACATAAAAAGCAAGATCGTATCTCTGCGCTCCCTAGTTGGCATTAGGGATAGGTTCCAGTGCGCGGACGTGAAGCGTTGTCGCAACAAACCTCGATGTAGTACGGTCTTATTGTCCTTGTACGCTATAGCCTACCTTAATTTGTTATAAGTAGGTCGTTAACTTAATCAAGAGATGCACATTCCTTCTTGGCCATAAAATTGACCTTGATCAGCATGTTCAGCATCCCCGACCACAAGCAACGTTGGCGATGATTCAGCCGAAGGCTGACTCTACATTAATTCATAAGTTTTCCCGAATAATGAGGGTTTGGTTCAGCCGAAGGCTGACTCTACATTAATTCATAAGTTTTCCCGAATAATGAGGGTTTGGTGCAGACAGGGATAAATAAGTTTCTCGGAATCTGATTGGTCCAGATTTTGTATGGCCAGCCGCGAAAGAACGC